CATGCAAGCTACAATGCAATATATACAATATGCAATGGAATGTAATATTTACAATGGATAAGGCCTGCGGCCGAATCGTATCTTGCCTAGGAACGGCATGGACACATACAGACCACGTTTAACATGGAAACGGTGCCGTCACCCACAACACTAGGTGCGTACACATAATATCATAACCGTGCTTCAACGCAAAAAGTACGGGCACATATCAGACCAAGCTCAACATGGAAAGACGCAAGCCGTAGATGGATGTGATGTGATGCAATGAATGCATGCAAGCTACAATACAATACAATCAATGCATGACAATGCACTATTTACAATGAAACCTACATACTAAATGATGCAGAAGGGAAATGCATGATAATGCAAAGTAAGGAAGAATGCACTACAATGCATGTAAGCAAAGATGCATGACAATGCAAGCTATCTACAATGCAATATTTACTAGCTAAAATGCAATGGATGCAGTGGATAAGGCCTGCGGCCAAACCGTATCTTGCCTAGGAAAGGCATGGACACATACAGACCACGTTTAACACGGAAACGGTGCCGTCACCCACAACACTAGGTGCGTACACATAATATCATAACCGTGCTTCAACGCGAAGAGTACGGGCACATGCCAGACCAAGCTCAACATGGAAAGGCGCAAGCCGTAAATGGAGGTGATGCAATAAATGTATGCAAGCTACACAATATGCAATGGAATGTAATATTTACAATGGATAAGGCCTGCGGCTGAACCGTATGTTGCCTAGGAAAGGCATGGACACATACAAACCACGTTTAACACGGAAACGGTGCCATCACCCACAACACTAGGTGCGTACACATAATATCATAACCGTGCTTTAATGCGAAAAGTACGGACACATACCAGACCAAGCTCAACATGGAAAGGCGCAAGCCGTAGATGGATGTGATGCAATGAATGCATGCAAGCCACAATGCAATAAATACAATATGCAATGGACTGTATGTAAATGCAATATTTACAGTGAGATGCATGACATATGCACTATATACAGTGTAATGTATGACATATGCACTATTTACAATGTATGCATGACACATGCACTATTTGCAGTGTAATACATGACATATGCATGTTTGTTTTTTTGTTTTGTTGTTTTTTTTTGAAAATGCATGGTAATGCAGATGAAATTGACCGCGCAACAACGCATGTCTTTTGAAATACATGACAATGCACATGAGTAGCGCATAACAATGCGAGTGAGGGATGCATGACAATGCAACCTAGGATAAAATCCACCAAGAGTCGTTCGGGCATGACAAACACCAAAGGACTTGCACCTTCAGAGGATTTAAGGTCTCCTAGACCGATATTAAAATGCATAACAATGCAAGTATGGCGTGCGCTACAATGCACAAGGTGTGTACATAACAATGCGAGTGCGGGATGCATGACAAGGCAACCTAAGATAAAACCTGCCAAGAGTCGTTCGGGCATGACAAACACCAAAGGACTTGCACCTTCAGAGGATTTAAGGTCTCCTAGACCGATATTAAAATGCATAACAATGCAAGTAAGATAAGCATGACAATGCATGATAGAGAAAATGCATGACAATGCAACCGGAATGTGCATGACGATGTAAGGGGACTCAAATGCGTGACAATGCATGTTCTCTTTGAAATGCATGACAAATGCATGTGAGGTACGCATGATGATGTGTGACAAGAACCATGCATGACAATGCATGTAAGGTGCGCATGACGATGCGGCCCAAGATGAAACTTACCAAAAGTCATTCGAGCACGACAAACACCAAAGGACTTGCACCTTCAAAGGATTTAAGGTCTCCTAGACCGATATTGAAATGCATAACAATGCAAGTATGGCGTGCGCTACAATGCACAAGGTGTGTGCATAACAATGCGAGTGCGGGATGCATGACAATGTAACCTAAGATAAAACCCGTCAAGAGTCGTTCGGACACGACAAACACCAAAGGACTTGCACCTTGAGAGGATTTAAGGTCTCCTAGACCGATATTAAAATGCATAACAATGCAAGTCAGATAAGCATGACAATGCATGATAGAGAAAATGCATGACAATGCAACCGGAATGTGCATGACGATGCAAGGGGACTCAAATGCGTGACAACGCATGTTCTCTTTGAAATGCATGACAAATGCATGTGAGGTACGCATGATGATGCGTGACAAGGACCATACATGACAATGCATGTAAGGTGCGTATGACAATGCGGCCCAAGATGAAACCTATCAAAAGTCGTTCGAGCATGACAAACACCAAAGGACTTGCACATTCAGAGGATTTAAGGCCTCCTAGACCAATATTAAAATGCATAACAATGCAAGTATGGCGTGCGCTACAACGCATGTATGCATGCATAACGATGCAACCTATGTATGCTAACCGTTAACAAGGTAAAACATTGTAATGCGACATATTCAAAGCAGTTACTGAATCTCGTAAGATATCAAAGGATACGAAAAGGATACACCTCGCATGTATTCGAGTGCTACGCACAGAAGACACGGCACAGAGACCCATTACGCTTCGGAAATGCATTTTCTTGCACTGTGTTGAGCAATGGAGGCCCCAAACCACATCAAAGACCCAAACAAAGGTGTAAGAGGTTCACCGGCCATCGGGGGAGGTCACCGGCCATACACTGGCCATAAAACAAGGCCATCGGCCAAATATTTGGCCAACTGGCCAATAATGTGGCCCACCAGCCAAATATGCCTGAATCGGGGCAGTTTGGTCAATTCGGCACGGGTCTTTAAATATAGGGCTTCTAGCCCTATATTTCTCACTTCTTCTTGCTCAAAAAACAGCCCCCTCTCTCTAGGTTATTTCCCAATCTTCTATCCCCGTCTTTCCTTGGTTTTCCGGCCCGTTTCAACGTTCGATTCGTGAAACCCTCATCGTTTCGAACATTTTGAACCGAACAAATCTTTGTTTCGGTGTCTTTTTCTCGATTTCCGCCACTCGGGGTTTGTTTCCCTTGAGTTTTCCTCGATCTCTATGCCTTTTCCACACTCTGGCTTTTCCGGCCATTTTTCACCCTCTCGGGGTTGACTTTCCACATTCTTCCCCGGTTTTCACTCTTCCGGTCATTTTCACACCATTCTCGGCATGGCAGATGGTATTCCATGAGGTGGGACTCCTCCGGAGCAGGAGATAGATCCCGAGGTCGAGCTCTTGCCTCTCAATGTCCGACCGTTCGACCCGGTAACCTACAGGCCAGTGATTCACGTGCTACCTCCTAATGGTCTTCGCCAGTTCAGGACTTTTGAATGGGGCGTGCCACGAGAGCTTCTTCTGCGTGAGCCAGAGTCACATCTGTCTTTCGGCGCTTCTAAGTTACAGTTTGCCCTCTGTTTTATTTTCCGCAATGTAGAACATAACTGCAATAGTTGATTCTGTTCTTTAACTGCTTAGCCCGGATACATCGATATATTACACACTGTAATTCATCTGTGAACACACTGATACCCGATATCTGTTTGAACCTGAAAAATTGCACCCACGCTGCATTTTCACTGAACCACTTGAACACACTGATACATCATATGCTATAGTTCACTTCGAGCACACCGGCACCCGATATCTGTTTGAATCTGAAAACGTGCACACACGCTGTATATGCATCAATTTTGACTGTTCTTCAAAACTGTACATTTAATATCGCTTCGCAACTGTTTGCTTTTGAATATAGGGGGATTCCTATGCCTTCCAGGGGTATGGGAATGTCATGGCCCGTGGATGGTACTTGGACCTGCCTGACGCAATCCGCCACATCGTCGACCAGGCCGACTTCGGTACTTTCTGCAGGGGACTCTCACGCCTTACTGCGAGCAGGCCTCTTCTTGCTGCTCTGGTGGAGAGGTGGTGGGACACCACCGATTCCTTCCACTTCTCTGCCACGGGGGACATGACGATAAGTCCCTTCGACTTCTCGATGCTCACCGGCATCGGGGTAGGGGGTGATCCAATCCCCTTTGACACAAATACGGATGAGTGAGAGGTCGCTCAAATGTACCAGCTAGGCGACCTATCGCCTCTTGCCTGTCCAGGATTTGTTAGATATTCGTGGTTCGAGGACCACTTCAGGATTCAGCCAGCCTTAGCTAAGGAGGCGCCGATGGCTCAGGAGGAGGCGGAGCAGTATGCACGCGACTTCCTTATGTTCTTGCTGGAGACGACCCTCTTCGCCGACTGGGCGAACACCGTGCCTCTCTGTTTGCTGAGCGCTTTGGTGGACGTCACGTGGATCCGCCACTATGACTGGGGTGGCGCAGGCTTGGCCACACTGTACAGCTGCATGAGTTCATCCTCTCACCTCAGCGGACAGTTGCTTGGAGGCTACTGGCGGGCTTGGGAGGTACATCCTCTTTCTTTGTTTTACATTTCTGCTCTACATTATCTGTATTTTGTACAATGCCCATACTGCGGTCTGCCTCACGCTGACTGTATACTGCACACACGGCACACATATAATATGCTTTACATACTGTATATTGCACAATACTTCACATATTGTACAATCTGATGCCAACTGACTATACACTCAAATACTGCAAACATGCAATCTGCTTTACACTGACTGTATACTACACACACTGTACACTCTGCACAATACACTGCACAATACACGGTTCTGCAATTTCTGTTTTATCCTGCATTCTGCTTCGTCTGTGTTCTACTTTATCTGATAAGCATACTGATTCTTGCTCTATTGTACTCTATAGTTGTGGGTGTATGCCTACTTCTCGAGGCTTGCCCCAGTGCCGGACGAGGAGACCCCCCTCGACGTTCCATTCTCCCGCCGCTTTGTCGTGAGATGCGTGCGGAGACCCCGGAAGTCATTCATATTCTTCCGCCGCTATTTCGACACCATCACCGCCACAGAGGTATGTTCAACTTTAGAGTTTATTTCAAGCTTTGCTTTACATTATTCTTTCGATAATAGTAGATAACAAACTGCATATCATTTATAGACCACTTGGCAGCCTTGGGCTCCATTGCCAGTCGCAGTTTGAGAGCGATATGCTGGTGTTAAGGAGACTGCTCGATTCAGGATTCTGCTGGAGGGCCCGGTCTGTCGGGCTTGGTACCTGGGCAAGCGCTTCCTGCGCCAGACCTTAGGTTTACTAGAGCAGATAACCCCAGGTCCACCTCCTATCGACATGAGGCAGACAGAGAGATACCCCCCACATGAGATGGCTGATTACACAATCGGATGGGAGGCGGAGGGCTTTAGAGGCGAGGGCGACTATGCAGAGTATGTCCAGACCTACATCATGTGGCCTTTGAGCAGTGGTCGCCGAGCTGAGAGGAAGAGGCCTGCGACGCCAGCGGCTAGAGCGGGAGCAGGGGCAGGAGTACTTAGGATGGCTCGGGTCCGTGGTAGGAGTGGGCCTCGGAGAGGGCGGGGAGTTGGATGGCCGGCGTTGCCAACGATGATGACATACAGAGGGCAGAGTGGGGAGATTTATCAGATCCCGATCGCTCCCCCTCTGGCTGATCACGAGCTAGTCGGTTTCTACGACTTGCCTCCGGTATGTACTACATGCAGTCATTTCATTTCATTTCTCTTGATATTCCGCAGAATACTGATACTTCTAACACTTTTGCAGGCTTCCTCTGAGTACACTTGCCAGTCCCTGGAGTTAAATGCCTCCATGATAGGGATGCTCCAGCGGAGCTTAGACCTGCTGGCCCTTTATAGTATCCCGGTAAGTCTTTCTGACCACCAACTCAAACTTTACACAATCTGATGTATCGCACTTATCAACACAGCACTTGATACACGGCCGTCGCGGCATTCATACACTGCACTCAGTCACTGCATTCTGTATTTATACACTGTACTCATACACTGCATTTTGTACTGATACACTGCTCACAGCATTCAAATACTGTACTCATTCACCGTACTTGATATTCATACTCTACTTTTGCGTAGCATACTGATAAGCTTGCCATTTGTGCTTTTCAGCCTCCATTCCAGATCCTTACTGCAGGAGGTCCTCCAGCTGGGCCTTCTGTTCCTGCTCGAGGAGGAGGGCGAGGTGGCATAGTATTCCCCCGCACCAAAGTGGGGCGCACTCATATTGGGAGTAGCTCTCGAGCACCGATCCCAGATGATGACGAGTCCGAGGCAGAGACGGAGGCAGAGGCATCTGAGGAGGAGACCGGAGAAGACTCGGACTCGGGCTCAAACTATGGAGGTGGCGATGACGCTCCTGGACCTTCGTCCAGGAAGAGGACGAGGACAGGCTCTCGGGCCTGAGATGTTCGATGCTGATCCAGATTTTTGCTGCTTTTCTTCTTTTTGTTTCACTTTTTCTTTTTGCTGGTAGCTTGAGTACCTTGTACTGTCGCGGTCAGGTTTTATTTTCTTCGAAACTTTGTACTTGAAAGGATGATGAAATGAAACAAACTTTTTGCCTGAAAAAGTTTTACATTTGTGTATTTCAGACATCACATCGCATCATATTACACAACGATGTAAATGAGATTGGTCTTTTGTCTGAAAATCAAACACTTGTATTGTAATAACCAGGTAGTGAACCAGTTAATGACAAAACAACTGATATAACCCACTGCTCATTCTGAACACACAGCCCTTAACACAGTGCTTGGTTTACTCTGCATACAGCCTATATACATAGTTCATACAACGCACTGCTTATTCTGAACACACAGCCCATTCTGAACACTGCTCATTCTGAACTCATAGCCCACAGTAGCATATTGCTCATTCTGAATACACGGTTCATTCTGAACTCTGCAGAAGTTGAAACACACTCAGATGCTCCAAAATTTATTGCTTCGCAATCCAAAACCCAAAAGCTGCAGATAAGTCCAGGTTTTTCTGTTCACACTTATCAGAGGTGGACCATGCAGTTTTATGAAAGAACCAAATTATGTTTTGCACAAATGTAGGGAATGACACAGCACTCTGAGCACAAAACGATTTGAGGAAAGGGTTTTCAACCAGGTATTGAGCCTACGACTGAACACAGTGAAAAGGACTCAACAGAGAAAACAAAAAGGCACTCAACCTAAACAAATCGAGTAACACTCGAGACGACTCAAGACAAGAATCGAGACAGTCAAAACAAAAGACATGACACACAGACGTGTTATAAAAGACAAGAGACCTCTTAGTTTGCGAGGAGCCAGTTTCTCTGAGTATTGTTTCCCACCCTCTTCTCATTTGTGATTCTCACATCACTCGACCCTCAGGCTCGGTTTTTCTCTCAAAACCCCTTTTTGCTCACTTTTCTCTCGACTTACGCCTCTCTATTCTTCACTCTCTTATTTTTCATCCCTCCCCAGATATGGTCGGTGAATAAACAAGAGGTTGTGGGTTCATGCCCAACACTGTTGGGTCGCAGCTATTTCCTCCGGTGACGTTTAGTCGATGTTCCTGATAAGGGAGTGGAGTATCTTGATCCATTCTGGATCACGCTTCGCACTTGGCTTGATACCTCGTTGCTCAGAGGGTGAGAGAGTTTTCAGCCCTTTAATGACAACTTCAGCTGTGCCCTTTCTGGCAAGTATGCTGGCGATGGGAAAAAGACAAGAAGCCTGACTCAACCGTGCCCCTAGTTTATCATTTTGACCATTTTTTGTTTTGATTTTCTATTAAAACAATTTTAACCAAAATGAGAGTTAGATTAACATACTTGTTCGATTTTCTAATTTAAAATCATGCAAGTCAGGCTATGAGTATTGAAAATTTTCCTTCTTTGGGTCCAACAAAATGGTCCAGTTTTTGAAAAGATGGAATAATTTTCGAGAAAATAGTCAACCTCAGTAAAAAAATTCTCAAAAACTATTTTGCAAACGGTCACTGCTCAACGAGCACGAAACTTACTCTGGAGATGCACAACCTCAGATCGGAGGCAATGAAAAATTGCCCTTGTTCCAAAGGGCACAGCACGGCAACGGAAAGTTGCCCCTGGTTTGGATGGCGACTCATGGCAACGGAAAGTTAAAGTGTTGGTGGCTGGACTTCAGGATGAAGTTGCCTACGTATCCCAAACATAGGAATCAAGCCTTACGTAGTTTCGGTTGTGTCACAACCGAACTATCGGATTCAGAAAAGGCAAGGATGATCAAAACCATTACATGGACACACTTGATTTGGAAGTGTTTGTGGCTGGACTTTGGGATGAAATTGCCTGCGTATCCCAAACATGGGAATCAAGCCTTACGTAGTTCCGATTAAGGTACACTCGTGTATTAACCCTCACTTTTTAGGCTCTAACTTTTGCCAAGGCCGCCCTTTGCGGGTTTTCAACCTTGCGAGCTTTATTCTTCTTTTCTTTTCAATTCCTTTTTTTTTCCATTTTTTTGTCTTTTCTTTTTCAAATCTTTTCATTCTCTTTTTTTGCATTTTTTTGTATTCTTTTCTTTTCTTTTTTTTTTGCTCTAACTTTTGCCTGGGTCGCCATTCCGGGTTTTCGACCCAGCGAGCCTCTCAAAGGGTAAAAGTGTAACAAGTCCATGCCAAATGGTTTTAGGATCTCAAAGCCATCCGTATCCAGGAGAGTGGCTGTTGTATTGATTTGCACAAGGATCCATCTTCGGCTCTTCGTGCACATCGAACATTTTTGCCCCTAGTTTGAGGGGTGCTTCTGTTCTAGCTTCGCAAGCTTCTTCTGATGATGTCTGATCTTCTTGATCTGACTTTCTTGGCCTCTTGTTCGAGGGCTGCTTCAAATTTGGCCACGCAGGCCTCATGTTGCAGTTGACCGTTGAACATTTTGAACTAAGGTCCAAGGATTGAAAGCAAGGGCTCAAGTCTTGAGGCTGAGAGCGATTCTAAGCTGCACAATCTCAAGAGCGATTCCACATAGGCCTTCGCAAGACTGCGCAAAACATTTTGTTTTCGAAATTTTTTTTAAGAAAGCGACAAATCGTTCGTGCTGAAGATAGTGCGGAACCAATCTGGATCAAGCCAGGGTCCTTCTCAGTACTCACGTTAACAAACATGATTTCAATCATTAAGGGCTCAGCACGCCTCTCTTTCTCTCAAATGATCAAAGTTTTGCAAATCCCGAGGAATTCTTTCCTCTTTGTTTTCATCACCACAGTGTTAAAAAAGTTTTGAAAAACTTAGGTCAATGTAATGAATTCGAGGTGCAAAAGAGTAAGTGAGATGCTCCGCCGTTTCATTCAAATTTTCTGGCACAACTAGCTCGAAGTAACAATAGGCACGGAAAACATGATAACCGCAGCTGTTTCATTGAGATTTCCTGGTTGCAATTGGCACCACAGCAGAGACAGACTCAAAAGAAAACAAAAGGGTAATTACAAAACAAAACGGTGTTCGAGGCAACAATCCCAGAATCACCTGACATTCTATACAATGGGACTGACTCGACACAACAAGACAGACCCTTAAGCAAAAAGACTGACTCAGGACAAAGAGACAGACTCAAAACAAAAACAAAGAACTGACTCGACACCCAAGCCAGAAATTACAAAACTGTATTTGCAAATGCTCCCAACAGTGCGTGCCAAACGCCACATCTGAAATACACCGAGCGCCGCCCGCAGGTGGTCCAACCCCTGATCACATACTTGCAGTATCCTCGAAATCCAACAATTCAGTGGTGACAGACTTTGCTGAGGTGGGTGGGAGGATGACCTCATTGTCGATCAAATCTTGCACTTCGTGGCGAAGGTGGAAACAACCGTCGGTGCTGTGACCGGTTTGCTGGTGGTACGCGCAGTACAAGGCAGCATCATGTGTGAGAGAGAGATTCTTTGGGAGACGTCGAGGCTCGAGAGGTTTAAGATGCCTCTTTTAGCCAAAATTTAAAATGCCCTAGACAAAGGCATGTAGAGGGCATGAAAGACTTTGCGCCCTCGAGGCAGGTACTTCGAAGTCTGAGGATTCCTGCTAGACGCACTAGCGAAAGGGTCGGCAGGCACTGCCTTGGCTTTCTGATCTTTCCCAGGGGTAGGGTTGGGAGTGAAAGGAATTGTTCTGGCATGACAGGGCCTATCCCGATTTTTTGCCTGGCTTGAACTGCCCTCGGCTGGAGTGGGAAAAGCATCATCCACAGTTTTAGTCATAACTGCGAATACTTGCTGTTTATTGAACCCCCCGGCTTTCAAAGCCTCGATTGCCCACAGCAGTTGTTCAATGGGATCAGCATCTATTCCCACTTTATTCTTACCTCTGGCCTCAGCTTGATCGAGGGTTTGGGTTACAATTGACATGTCATTGCTATAGCTTGAGACAACCTCAGGTTGGCTGAGCTCGATCACAATTCGCCCCAGTAGCGGGGGCTCCTGCGGTATGACATTCCCGGCATATGATGTAGCTGGTGGCGAAGCCGACATTCCGTAAGCGAGATCAGCCACAGACCTCTGAAGGTCACCAATCATTCCTATCAACTCAAACGTTGTGGGCTCACGAACTTGAAACAACTGGGGCTCCCAGATCGGGCGCGCGGCAGGCGACCGAGGCGGATGTGGTACTTCAACATTGGTCTCACTTTGTAGGGTGATTCCTTGGTCTAATGCGGCTGCTATAACCACAATTTTCTCTAAACTTTGAGTCATCATAAGTCCGCTGAACTTTGAACGGAGATGATGCAACCGGCGATTGATGGATCCGATATCTGCCTTGCCTCAGCTAAGGAGAACACCAAATCTCTGACCCTAAATCCCTAAACCTTGAAAGGGAAAACAAGCAGCATTTCAGCCCAAA